TTTGTCACTTGGATGATTATTGTGATCACTAGCTGCATGACTTCGTACCCGATTGATTTATGGATTCTTATGATTATCATGTTTTAGTAGTCTAGCTGCATGACTTCGTACCCGATTGATTTATGGATTCTTATGATTATCATGTTTTAGTAGTGAATTTGTATGTTGATTTTGTTGGATTTCCATTGATTTATGGATTCTTATGATTATCATGTTTTAGTAGTGAATTTGTATGTTGATTTTGTTGGATTTCCAGATGCATGTGCTTTTGTCAATTCTGTTATCGTATCGTTTTCCATTTTGGTTTTCGTTGTTCTATTTATTTTGTGGGGTCTTGCCGTGTGCCACGCTGACGTACACATGTTTTCTCTGGTGTACGTCATACTTAGAGGAAGAACATGTTCAGATTGGAGATGCGCCAGAGCAGAGGATACTCGGCAGGAGTGTCTTGTAGACGGAGCAGAAGAAGGAGTCGAAGCCTATTCTTTTCATTTGTTAGTTAATGGTTCCAGTTTACTTTTGTAGCTCTTTTCATTCCTGCCTGATCAATGTATTCCATATTTCTTTAGTTCATTTGTTCATTTTGTATAAGGGTATGTTTGACCCGTATTTTTATGTCTCGGATGTTATCCCATTTGTGATATGATATTTCTTTATTCTGAGTTTGTCTATTATATTCTTGCTGATTGTGATCGGGGACCTGTGACTTCGCATCGTATATTATATTTTTGACGCTTAGCGTATTAGATTGAGTAGAAAGAGTTTTATTATTTATTTCTACTCAACCTAATACGTCGCGGGCTTGTTCACGTTCCGATTTCCCTGTATTTTGGGAAGCGGGACATGACACACTCTCTCAAGTTATAACTTATAAGTATATACAATATATTTACATATAATATATGTATATATAATAATTTGTAAGTGTATATTAATACATACTTATATAAATATAATAAGATTAATTTAAATTTTAGTAAGTTAAAAAAAATGACCGGGCCAGCCCGATGCCCAGCGTGCTCGGGCCCGGGTCCGAGTCACGGGTTTGCCCAGCCCGAGCCCGGTTTACCGAGCCTAACCGGCCCGTTTGTACAGGTCTGGACATGCATAATATGTGACAAAGCATCTCCAGCAAGTCAACTAACACACAAAAAAAACAACAACAAAATAATTCTAATCAAACTACTCTTTTCAAACTATTTCCACAGTACTTACACACAAAGATGTGGAGTCCTTGGATTGCCATCGAAATTAATGATTCATTAAGAATCTCGCGATCTCTGAGTACGGTAGTGTGAGAGCAGTTTAAAAAATATAGTCTACTTATCACTAAAAATTAATATATTGGAGCCCTTTTTGAAAAGAAAGTAAAAATAAAATCATTCTTGAGAATAAGAGAATAAATCAATATTTTATCTTTAGTGCTGAGAGTCATAATGCATCATGAGGCAATCTCTGGAGTGCTCCCCTACTCTCAAAATGCTTACAGCCCCCCTCCCCCCCCCCCCCCACCCCACCCACCATTAATTCAAAAAGTGACACATAATATATACCCTATGATTGTTCTCAGCCCCTAAGTGCATGTTTATAAAGGAGACAGTGATGGCACTACAATGTAAAATAGACAAACTTCCAATAACTCCAACTAACAAAGGACCAGAATCAATATCTACCCTTGTTCACATAGAAACAGTAAGATTTGGGCATTAGGTTCACTAGCATCTCAAAAAATATTTGCTTCAGAGAATAAAGTCACCATCCTCTCCATTGAAATGGCTACACATTGGCTACTAGGTTGCTTTATTGTTAATTATATTTATTTTTTTCCCACTTTTACCAGTAGTTATATGTATGGTTTAAATTTAAAGAACGAGGTTGAAAGATTTGAGTCCACTATTATTGGCTCAAATTTTTTCTATTTTTATTTTTAATATTTAATTTGCACATTGGCGAGGCTGAGAAACTTTCAATGTGTCAATTTTAATAAATTTACATAACTTTATGAAGTAAACGACTGACGATAAACTGGAGCTAACTAGCTAGATCAAATTACATAAGTATATAATAATTGCCTACTATAAAAGAGGAATCATAAATTTTATATATTATTAATTTAAAAAATAGACTTGTAATTAATATCCTTTAATGGATAAATTAATGATTTTATTTCAAGTAAACACAAATTTATAATCGATTTTTACTATAGAGTTAAAGAAGTAAAAAGCTATACATGATATAATAATTCAAAGAAGCATGATTCAGAACTTAGAAGTTACTTTAATTATTGGACCTTATTCCACAGTCCATGACCCATAAAGACCTCAAAGTCAAAGATGAGAATTTAATTTAGGGCAACTTGCACTTAAATACCATATAGTTTTCCACTTATCGCGCTTAAATACCACAAGTTGTATTTTGAAATAAAAGTTACCATAAAATTTCCAAAATTTACATGTTACTATAAACGACCATGCAAACATAGAAATAGTCACCTGAATATTTCTCTATGATACTTACATGCTAATTTTAGAGTTTATTAATTAATATTATTTGTTAAGTTTGTTATTAAATCAACCAAATATCTTTTTTAGATTTATCTTAAATCAACTTTATAATAGAATTGGGATATTTCTAATAAAAGTTTTAATATACATTAATTATTAAAAAACTCTAAAAGTAATATGTGAGTATCACAAAGAAACATACGAGTGAAAAATTTTACGTTTACATGAGCGATGATAGTAACATGTAAATTTTATGGTAATTTTATTTACCAAAGTAAAACTTGTGGAGTGCACTTTCTATCAGGACTCCCCATAACGGTGAGTGATCTGGGTCATAGAGGGGGCGGTAAAATGCCCAGACTGCCCGTTTATCTCATCTCAATGGCCCTGAATACCTAGCACTACGCTCCAATTTGTGGTGTTAACTGCAACAAGTGGAAACCTATATGGTATTTAAGTGCAATTTACCCTTTAATATACAATAGTAACCTATCATTTATTATTCAAAAGAGTCTTCTCAAAACCAGTTTAAGCCCATATAATGTAAAAAATTATTGTTCAATCCCAATTATAATGTCATTGACGTCGGTGAGCATAAGCTGCCGTCATAACCACGCCTGCGCCCAGATTCCAGAGAGTGCTGATGGTGAGACAGCGCGGTAACTCTCTGTAGGCGGTGACCAGAACAAGACTCGCTACGAAAGCGACACGCCCGGAATCTCAAAGATTGCTGACGTTGAAGGCCTACGGACTCACGCAATCCACGAAATTTCGCGATAATGACGTGACACGATAAATCATGTGATTAATACTTCTCGTGCTTTGTCAGCATTTGTGGCGTCGTGACCCTCACCCATTTTCTCCCCAGTGAGTGGGGCCCCCGCCTTGCCATTTTGCCAGTTGTGGTCCAGATTCTGGGGTCTGAGATTAACTCTGGTCATTGTCTCAATGTTTCGCGATAAAGAGAAGATGACGGGCGCTGATTTTTCCACGTCCTTTGACGCGAGATATTAAACACGACAGTTAGCGGTTGCTTCGTGTGACAGCTTTTTGCCCAAATACCAAACATCAATATTTATGTCTTCATTTTTCGGCCAAAGAGAACGATCTAATTTGGATTACTTTTTTTAATCGAATAACATATTTTCCCCTATTTTTATTAGCACATCGGAATTAAAAAGTATGAAAGAAATATAATTTTTTATGGCGAAAACAACTATACTTTAGATAAAGCCGCGTAGCCAACCGTTGTGATGGTCCGAAGCAAGTGCTTGAAAATTAATAGGGTTTTTAGAAACTAGTCCTTCAAGTTTTTGATAATTGAATATTAGCCCCTTAAATTCAGGAAAAAATTGCATATTCATCTCTCAAACCGTATAAGGTCTTGCAAATTTATCCACTGGTTAACTCCCATTAGTTTTGAGGAAAATAGATTGTCAAATTTGACTTTTCAAGGCAAATTATTGCTTTAATCTTCCCATAAGTTCCTAAATCGATTTTTAATGAGTTAAATCCTAAATCTGCTATAAACAACCTCAAATCCGTTTGAGTTCTTCTTCCTCATTGGTCATAGAAAGAATCCTAATTCAAAATTGAAAATTTTTAATAATTATAATGCTTTAAACCTATACACTTCTCGCAAAACTCTCATGTAGGTTATTTGTCACTTTCTTCTCCAATGTTCGGAACATAGAGAATGAATTTTACATCTTTTGTTGTGGATAAGGATGGTTTGGCAATCACAAGTGTTGATTTCGAAGTTAACCCAACTATGGTTGGTTTTTTTACCTAAATAACTAACGGAGGGACTATTTCACAAGACCCAATAGAATTTACAGAACTTACATGTAATTTCCAAGATTTGAGGGACTCTTACGCAAATAGAGAAGATGAAAATAGACTGATATCTAAAAGAGGAGCACTAGGGGCACACCTTGGGACACACTCCCAACCACACCCCTCACCTGCTACAGTGCAGGGGGGTCCTACTTGAGATTTTTTAAAAAATCTCAAGTGGGACCCCTCCTGTACTGTAGCAGGTGAGGGGTGTGGTTGAGAGTGTGTCCCAAGGTATGTCCCTAGTGTTTTTTTATCTAAAAGACCTAAAGTACTAATGTGGAATTATATATATATACAAAAACGTGGTAAGCATTTTTATAAAGAGATAAGGCGTTTGATGTTGTTTCACCCACATCCGATCCCAGAGTCAATCCAACCCAGTCACGGGGCCTCACGCCATCAAAATACCGCGAGAAAATAAAACCGAAAAACTCGCGACTCGTGAGAGCGACGCGCCATCCCCCGACAGTGCAGGCGTGGTGGACGCTACGAAAGAATATCCACTAGATTTGAACCCAATTTTTCGAATCCGCGGAAACCCACGACCATCGCCTTATCAGATAACTCGTCGGGCCTATTTGATAAGTAGGTTGGCTTATCAATGATAAGTCGGTGAAAAGGCTGAGAGGACTACAAAACGCATCGAAGAAAGCGAGACAAAGTCTCTCATCCCGTGCTCAGCTTTTCCCTTCTCTCTTCCCTCTCTCTCTCTCTACCCGTCGACGCCATGAGAGTCGAAGCCCTAGATTGAAACCCTAGAATCCGTAAAAACTTCAAAAATCCCTCTCAAATCTCTCAAAATTTCGAAATTCCCTCGCATTTGTAACTCGAATCGGATCTCTCCGAGGAGAAATGTCGTCGCTGAGCCGGGAGCTGGTTTTCCTCATTCTCCAGTTCCTCGACGAGGAGAAGTTCAAGGAATCGGTTCACAAGTGAGTTTCTACGGTTTTTGGTTTCGGTGATTTTTGTAATTTTCTGAAATTTTTTTTTTGGGTTTTTGGAAAGGTTGGAGCAGGAATCGGGGTTTTTCTTCAATATGAAGTATTTTGAGGAGAAGTCGCTCGCTGGAGAGTGGGACGAGGTCGAGAAGTATCTCTCTGGATTCACGAAGTATTTTGAGGAGAAGTCGCTCGCTGGAGAGTGGGACGAGGTCGAGAAGTATCTCTCTGGATTCACGAAGGTGGATGATAATAGATATTCGATGAAGATTTTCTTCGAGATTAGGAAGCAGAAGTATTTAGAGGCACTTGACAGGTTTACCCTTTGATTTCTCTGTTCAATTAACGGTCATTTTATTAATTATAAAAAGTTCTCTTTTTCCAAATATGTTTTTTTCAATAATGGTATCTATTTTTTTTTTCCGCTGACAGCCGTGACAGGAGTAAGGCGGTAGATATATTAGTAAAAGATCTGAAAGTTTTTTCTACATTTGACAGGAGTAAGGCGGTAGATATATTAGTAAAAGATCTGAAAGTTTTTTCTACATTCAATGAAGAACTATATAAGGAAATTACTCATCTTCTCACCCTGGAGAATTTTAGGTAATATATTTTGTTTTCTCTGCTGGGGTTAGTCAGTCCAAGATTCATGGGAATTGTTTGTTGAATAAATATTTGCAGTTGTTTATGTTTCTGAAATCATGAAAGAACTGTTGGCAATTTAAATGCCATTTAATGTATATTGGGAAGAAGAGAATGACGTAGTTGAATATGATTGGAAGTGTTTTTTGATTTTAATACTTAACTATTTATGCAGGCTCTTTTTACTTGTTTGTGTCATTTCTCTTATGTTTTAATTTAGTATGTAATAATACTGTACATGATTCGAAATGAATAGTAATCCTTTTTAATGATAGTGTTGAGGTTGTTCGATGTACTTTTCGTCTGTTATAATGCATTGGATTGAGCTCTGAGGGAAATTTCCTTCAAAATTCTGTGTCATAGTGTGGTATCCAAGAATCATGTTTCGAGACTAAAGACGTCCCGAGACAGACCTTACTGTTGATGATTTAGGAGATTACGCAACTGCATTTATTATGTTCTACCATAGGACATCTGCTTTATACGAGAGTTCTTACACGTTGAATCTCAGGCAGCGTGCTTTGTTTGCTTGATGGATGTTTGATGATTTCAAAATCTGTCAGCTTAAACTTTAGGTGTAGTATGTAAAAATAGTCATAATATTAGCGCAAGAGGAGGCATATTAGAAACTTCCATCTTAACTCATCAAATGCAGAGTCTGATGTACATATTTGTGACTACATACAAGAGTCTTAAGCATCTTTTATGCATAACAACAGAACCAATAAAGTGCTGCTCGAACTAGAATTTGCATGTATAGGTTGTAGTTTTATTTGTTTTCTCAGCTAAAACGCTTAGTGATCCTTTATTTGTTTAAGTTTCATTATTTTGTCAGTCAAAATCTTGATTGTTTTTATGGGGGTGCTAAATGGTTGTTCTTGGATACTAAATGTGCTTATCCTTTCCTCTGTTTAATGCAGGGAAAATGAACAATTATCAAAGTATGGAGACACCAAGTCAGCCCGAAGCATCATGTTGATAGAGCTTAAAAAATTGATTGAAGCAAATCCTCTCTTTCGAGAAAAATTACTCTTCCCATCTCTGAAAGCTTCCCGACTGAGAACTCTCATCAACCAAAGGTACATTTGTAAATATTTACATAGCCTGCTACTTGTCTTTGTATTTCTTATCTTTTCTATCTTACGAGGGCAAAGTGCTTCATTATTTTGCCTTTAAGTAGTATAACGTGCAGACAATTGCCTATCAAATTGGATGCTGAGTTATGGTTGTTGGTCATGACAGTTTGAATTGGCAGCATCAACTCTGTAAGAATCCAAGGCCAAATCCAGACATCAAAACATTGTTCACAGACCACACCTGTGCCCCTCCAAATGGAGCTCGTGCCTCACCAGTCTCTGTTCCACTTGCAGCTGTTCCAAAGGCTACTGCGTCGTATACGCCACTTGGAGCTCATGGGGTATATATCTAGTATTCATGATTTAAATGATTAATTTTTTTAATATATTTTTGGGTTCTTATTTCTTTACTCTCATCATGCAGCCATTCCCTCCAACTGCTGCTGCTGCAGCAAATGCTAATGCATTGGCTGGCTGGCAATGCAGCTGCTTCATCATCAGTTCAGTCTGCTGTTGTTGCTGCATCATCAATACCTGTGGCACCAAATCAAGGTTTGAAATCTAATTTTGTCATTTAATTGTCAGGGCTATATTTATTGTAGAGGACAAACAAATTTGAAAAGGTAGTTACTAACTAGCTAGATTCCAAAGAGGAAGGGCATCATTTTCAAGCTCAAAAAAAGACTTCCCAAGGGGTTTTCATTATCTTGGCGTTTTTCATGTTTATGCTCCCCTCAGGTTCTAAAGTCGGAGAGAGTATGCTTTGTTTCTAGATAGTGGCATTCACAGTTAAGAACCTTTAAGTGCACATTTTCAAGATGTAGCAAAATCTAATTCTGTATGGTTTTAATGGTGATCCCATCTGCCAGTATATCTTTGAAGATTGCAATCATGAATATGGCTTCCTGAAATTGAAAGAGATTTATTGTTACTTGTGGTTTCATCATCTCAGTGTTTATCATCTTGATACTCGTTTTGGATTCATACGGCAGACAAAACATATATTTGTCTGTCTAGTTGACACAATTTTGAAAGTTTAATCATGTCAATGCAGTAAAGTCACTGATGTAAATTGATGCACTTAATTCATAGATTAAAGGTGACCTAAGTCTATGCATTATATTATTAGACTTGAGGGAGACTCAAGACAAAAATATCATTAAGTTTGATCCCAACCAACTGAATGGAACAGAAATGGTTCATCTACTAGAGCCCAAAATTTGGGATAAGATCTTACTCTTCAGAATATTGTCTAATAATAGTAGGTTCATGGCAGAGTCCTTTTGCAAAAACTGCAAGTTGTATACTGTATAGCAGTATTAATCAGAATTACTTTTCCCATGAACCAGTATCTATTAAACGCCCAAGAACTCCTCCACATGTTCTCAGCATGACAGATTATCAGAATGCTGACTCTGAGCAGTTAATGAAGCGAATAAGGCCTGGTGCACACATGGATGAGGTGATTTACTAATGCTTGGGAGGAATTGTTAGAGCTTTCTATTGTACTTTGCACTGCTATATACTTAGTTGATGTAGCATGTGAATTTAGGGATATTTTGTCTTGTATTGTAATCAGGTTACATATCCCACGCCTATTCCACAAGTTGGATGGTCGCTGGATGATCTGCCAAGATTTGTAGCTTGCACACTGAATCAGGGATCAAATGTGACTACCATGGACTTCCATCCTTCTCACCACACTCTACTTCTAGGTATAACCTTGCCATGATCTTGAAGCAGCTGATGTAATATTTCAACATGATGTTATTCATAGGCTGGCACCGTTAACAAAAATATTAGAAATAAGTTTCTCAATTGGATCTTTTAATGCGTATCTTTGTCATCTCCAGTGGGTTCTGGGAATGGCGAAATAGCACTTTGGGAAATTGGGCTACGGGAGAGGCTGATCTCAAAGCCATTTAAAATACGGGACATATCTGCTTGCTCGTCGCAATTTCAGGTTTTTATCATATTTCTTGTTGAAATTCCTAGAAAAGCTCTATCATTTATTTTTCAGACACCTTTTTCTGCCACCTTTCTGATAGTGATTATGCAGGTTGCATTACTTATATTCTTTAGAAAATATTGCTTAATGTTGCAAGTGGTGGTGGTCATTGCATTTAACACTATGTATGCAGCCTGCATACAGTTGCAGTCAACCTTACATTTATTTTACATATGTTGACATTATTTATCCATGTTGAATTGGTCAGGCGGCCATTGTCAAAGATTCTTCCGTTTCAATCAATCGAGTAACTTGGAGTCCTGATGGAACTTTTATAGGTAAGCCTCTCTCTTGGTGGTTAGCATGATTTGTGGTTGCTAGTTTCCTAGAATTTCAATTCTGTGGCTGCAGGTGTTGCATTCTCAAAACACTTGATTCACATCCATGCTTATCAAGCACCAAATGATCTACGTCAGCGTATAGAGGTCGGTGCAACTTTTGCCTAAACAGGAAATATTTGGTGCACTTACTGACCTAATTTTTATCTGCAGATTGATGCTCATATTGGTGCAGTCAATGACATAGCCTTCTCTCATCCAAACAAGCAACTATGCGTGGTGTCTTGTGGAGATGACAAGATGATAAAGGTTATAGCTATTATCTACTAAATATTTTTTTCGTTTCAGTGTTATGTTCTTCACCTTATTTGATGAAGCTTCCTCATGTTCTAGGTCTGGGATTTAAATGGACAAGTGCTTCACGTATTTGAAGGACATGAGGCACCTGTTTACTCCATTTGCCCCCACCACAAGGAGAATATTCAGGTATTCTTCGTAGTCCCGCATGTTTATAGCCAAATTATTTATCTGTTATTTTGCATCATGTGCTCTGGAGTAGCATATCTGAAAAAAAAAGAGTTTTCCCTGACATCTGAACTTTATGTCAAGCCTAGAGGACATAAATTTCACTGTCATGCTGTAAGTGACTTATTTATTGACATGTCCTGCAAGCTCAATTCATTGTTCAAATTTAGTCACCCTTGTACAACCTTGTGAGCCATAGCTTTTATTTTAAGTTTTGGGCGGTCATGGTACACATGTTGATTCCTTGGCTCAATGGATATTCTTCACCAAATTCAACAACTGACATAGCTAGAACAAAATGTGCTTTTATTACTGTTGAAGGATTGCAACATCTAATATATGTGACCCATTAATATAAGCATATTAATTGTTCCTTTATTCTGTAACATATTTTGATTAGATTGCATTTATATGCCACTTTTTCAAGAATATCATTTTCCTTGCAGAAGATAATTATATTTTGCCAATTACCAGTGAAAATGCCTAGTTTCTCATCTAGTTATGTCAACATTTTGAAATCTGTTGTTGCATGAATCTTTTGTTTTCATCATGTCTGATGCTATCGTTTACTTTGAATTTGCAGTTCATTTTCTCAACTTCTCTTGATGGAAAAATCAAGGCATGGCTGTATGACAACATGGGATCTAGGGTTGATTATGATGCTCCTGGGCGGTGGTGTACAACCATGCTATATAGTGCTGATGGAAGTAGGTAAGAGATGTACTTATGTGAAGAGTTTACCATTAGATGGTGATGGTATCATGATTTGGTTATTTGTCAATCAAGAAATCCATTATTACTCGTATTTTTCATCATGTAGATTGTTTTCCTGTGGGACAAGCAAAGATGGGGATTCTTACCTGGTTGAATGGAATGAAAGTGAAGGGGCTATAAAGAGGACATACTCGGGTTTCCGAAAAAAATCAGCAGGTGTCGTGCAGTTTGATACTGCAAAAAATCACTTTTTGGCTGCTGGCGAAGATAATCAGATCAAATTTTGGGACGTAGATAACCTAAACATGATTTCATACACAGAAGCAGACGGTGGACTGCCGGTCAGTCTCTGATAGTTTTGCTTGCCATTTCTTTTATTTCCTTTATTCTTTGGGTGGTCACTAAATGCATCAGTTGGATACTCTCAGAGTCTTCCTCGCTTGCGATTCAACAAGGAGGGGAATTTTCTTGCTGTTACTACTGCTGATAATGGTTTAAAGATACTTGCTAATGCTGAGGGCCTCAGAGCTTTGCGAGCTTTTGGAAACCGATCTTCCGAAGCATTTAGAGCTCAATACGAAGCGTCTCCAATGAAGGTGATATAGCATTTGTTTCTCTTCCTTCTTATATTGTTCTACTCGGGGATAGGTAATTTTCCTAACATCCAGCATTAAATTTCAAAAACATTCTGATTTGTTACCAGGTTTCTGGTTCTCCTGTGGCTGCGAGCATCTCCTCAAGCATCAGTAGAGTTGATCGCATGGAAAGAAACTCTCCTGCGAGGCCATCTTCCGTTATTGTATGTTAGGCAAAAAAACACAACTTTTGAATCATATTACAATTACTACTGTGATTTTCTTGCATATGCATACTTTGGGCCTAGACGTGTTATGTAAACTTCCATGGAAGTCTATTTTTCAGAATAAGGATCTAAGTTTTTGTAGAACAATCCATTCATCTTTCCTTGTCCGACATAATCAGTCCCTTAACATTGGCATTGGGTTGCCCGTTCATTTTGATTTCCTAAAATTTATACTCCTGACAATTTTTTCTCATCTCTTACTAAATTATTAAGGGGTAAATACTTACAGATATAATGTAGGTTGTATATTCATATAGTTACTGGTCAGATCTGTATGTTGGCAGGTTGGATTCATATATGTAAAGAGATTCTTGTAGTACAACTTTTTTTTCCTCCTATGTTATGCATCCCATTGAGCGAGAGATTGTATTACCTTGAATATAAATTTCTATAAGACAGAAACTTAACAATTGTACTAATATTTGTTTGTGGTCTTTTTTTGTTGTCTTTATTTGCTGTATTGTCGTCAATGGATGCTCAATTTGTTTGCTTTGAAAGGTAAACATATCTTGGTATTTCTACTTCTAAGACTCTTTTCTGGGGAGACACTTTTTGCCTCTGCTATACAGTTCAAGCTGTAAATATCTTTCTTGTCATGGAGATAATATGAAACACAAAATCTCCCTATATGCTGAAATAATCAATCATGTTTTGCTTTTGCAGGGTCATTTGGTTTTATTTATCTATATTACTATCTCTGTACCCTGTTTAAATAAGACACAGAGTTTTATAGAGCATCATTAAATTCATTATAAAACCCCATTCTATTATTTACAGAATGGAGGTGATCCGTCATTAAGGAGTATTGAAATTAAGCCAAGAATTTCGGAAGATCTGCCAGATAGAAGTAAACCTTGGGAATTGGCAGAAATCCTGAATGCGCAACATTGTCGGGTTGTTACAATGCCAGACAACACGGATCCTACCAGCAAGGTGCTGATTATTGAATTTTCAATCCACATCTTGAATGCTATATGCTTGATTTTGAATGTTTAACACCTCATTTACTAGCAGGTTGCTAGATTACTTTACACAAACTCTGGGGTTGGCTTATTAGCACTGGCATCAAATGCTGTTCAGAGGCTGTGGAAATGGAGCCGTAGTGAGCAAAATCCAACTGGCAAGGTAATTTTTGGATGTATAGTACTGTCGGTAATTATGTTTTTCATATTTCTCTGATCGCAAAGGGAATGAACTAAGGTAATTGAATGTTAAAGGCCACTGCCAGTGTTGTACCACAGCATTGGCAACCAAACAGTGGTCTGCTTATGACAAATGATGTCTCAGATACTAAGCCTGAAGATGCTGTCCCCTGTATAGCTCTCTCAAAGAATGATTCATATGTAATGTCTGCATGTGGCGGAAAGGTCTCATTATTTAATATGATGACGTTCAAGGTAAGTTTTACCACATTTTGCATAAAGGAACATGCAATATTGTTAATTCTGTTTCCTTATTAACTGTCAAGGCATCTGTCTCTGCAGGTAATGACGACGTTCATGCCACCACCACCAGCTTCAACCTTTTTAGCATTCCATCCTCAAGACAACAACATTATAGCAATTGGTATGGAAGATTCCACCATCCACATATACAATGTGAGGGTGGATGAGGTAGTATCTCTAAACCCTGACAATTTTTCTACTCTTAGAGTTGTTCTCGATTCATTGTTTTTTTCTCCTCATTTTCTGGTAGGTTAAAACAAAACTGAATGGCCATCAGAAACGCATAAGTGGATTGGCTTTTTCCAACAACTTAAATATCCTGGTATCTTCAGGTGCTGATGCTCAGGTAAGTTTCTAAAAATTAACTCGTGATTTGAATTTTTGGGAATTTCTGTCTAGCAATGCTCTTTGGAAAAGTTACTCTGTTTAGACCTTGTTGGTAGGATATGAATCTTTCTTATGTGTTAATGAATATATTATGCAGATCTATGATGTTATAGTTATATTAGGTAAAATATATTAGGAATATGTAGTTGAAGGATATTAGGGATGTAATTGAGAGGATAAAAGAATATGCTAAGAATATATTTATCATATTCCTAATAATATGTAACATGTATGTATTTACTATTTGTATAAATATAAGAGATCAACAAGCTTTAGATAGAGTCTCTGGTTTTCCTCAGAATTAATTTTAACATGGTATCAGAGCCATGCAAACCCTAGCTTCCATAAAACTCTGGATTCTCACAAACCCTAGTCCCCTAATCTCTCACCATCAAACTCCTCCCTCTGCCTTACAATCATCATTCTTTCCTGTGACTAGTTATAGTGTATAGGGCGTGTGACTGTTCACCATGAATATTGCCGCGGATTCTTGTCTGTCCTGCTTTTTTTGATGGCCGTGTTGACTATTAAGATTGCTATTATTGATAGCAGTAGTCATCCGCAATGTATATGTTCACCATGAAGATTGCTATTATTGATGGCCCGTGCTGCCTTGATTTCCTTTCATTCACTGCCTACTCAACTTGTGGCACTACTGCCACCACAGTTTGTATTCTAGAAACCTTTATGTTTGGTTGATCTATGAAGAGGATTTTTTTTGTTGATTTTGAAGAGAATCGTTTGTTTGGTGGATCCACGAGAAGGATCATTTGTTTGTTAGATCCTTGAGAGGATTGTTTGTTTGGGAGATCCCTAGTGAAGGATCATTTGTTAGATCCTGAGGAGGATCATTTGTTTGGTGGCTCCTTAAGGAGGATCGTTTGTTCGGTGGATCCCTAGAGAGGATTGTTGTTTGGTCGGTCCTTGGTGATGATTGTTTGTTTGGCAGTTCCCTGGAGAGGATCGTTTCGTTTGGTCAATCTGTGAAGAAGATCGATGTATCACATTTGGTGATTTTGGTTAAGATTATTCGTGGTGGAAGACATTCAAGTAGAAGAGTAGAAGATGAAGACAATTATGATGAAGAAGGCCACACAGAAGATTTCAACCTTTTTAAGTTGTGTCACAAATTGGAGTGAGTACATCTTGTTTGTAAAAAGCTAGACATGTATATCACACATACTCCAACTTGAGAGGGAGTGTTAATGAATATATTATGCAGATCTATGATGTTATAATTATATTAGGAATTAGTATAAATATAGGAGATCAACAGAGCTCTAGATAGAGTCTCTAGTTTCCCTTTAAATTAATTTTCAACAATATGCATGCCATTATACAAGAAGAGCGAGCATAGGATCAGCATTCGGTGTCAGTGTTTTCACTTTTACATGATTAAATATGTTTTATTTTAAGTTAAAATTTATTTTATCTCCTTCTGTTGTTTCATTCAGCTCCTAGTGCACCTTTTGAGTTTTTCTTCCTGTAGTTGAGTATCAACAGTGAGAAAATTGCATACCACAATAGGTTTTGGTTTATTGCATTGGTTGATAATTATGATAATCCCAAGTACTGTTGCAGCTCTGTGTATGGACGACTGATACATGGGAGAAAAAGAAATCTATACCAATCAAACTGCCAGCTGGAAAGACTCCTGCAGGCGATACTCGTGTCCAGTTCAATTCCGACCAAACTCGCTTGCTGGTTTCTCACGAAACTCAGGTTGTTATATATGATGCTCTAAAAATGGAGCTTCTTCACCAGGTAAGTTGTTTACTAGCACATGTTACCTTCATTTAAATAGTAACTCGTGTACTGAGAATTAATGTGAATCTCTCATCATTTCAGTGGGTTCCACAAGACAGCCTCTCTGCTCCAATATCTTATGGGTGTTACTCGTGCAATAGCCAACTGATTTATGTTTCCTTCTTTGATGGTAATATTGGTGTATTCGATGCTGATAATTTGGGACTAAGATGTCGGATTGCCCCATCAGCTTATCTGTCTCCTACAACAGCAAACAGGTATCAAAATTTTCAAATGAGGTGTAACTGAGGTCATGTTAGTAGGAGGATTATGTCATTCCTGTGAAGAGTATCTAAAGGAAGCACAGGCAGAAAATTTAAAGTCGCATCCTTATTTATTAATCAACTAAGAAAGGTTTCCCCTCTTTATCGTTTGCATACATGCTTTCAGATTGTACTCTAGCCAGCGTCTAGTTCCTTAATTTCACTATTTTCTCAGTTTTAATGTTAAAAGTGTTGGGCGCAGAGTCACGCCCACCGCCGCGGAAGCGATATCACCTGAAGAAGTGGCTTTGTTGTCCGCAAAAGCAGCAAGTCAACTCTGTATTTCTTGTTCTCAAGAAACGCGAGATAGATAATGGACAATTCTTATTCTCAAGAGGAAACAAGAATTGAAAGTGAATATTCTCAAAGTGAAATATACACTCTTCCTCTATCAGCTCTAAGAGCGCGATTTTGAGGGATCCTACAAGCAAACATAGCCAACAAACCAGAAAACAGTAAATACACGGCGATTACGTAGGTCGGACAATTTGCCTACGTCCAAGGAGGGGTGAGGCGAGATTCCACTATAAGGAGAACACAGACGACTTGTACAATCCACAAGCTCGTCTCAAGATCTGATTTTTTTTTTAGCCAAAAAGAATAAACCTCTCTTTTGTAGAATCTCTCTTTTCTCTCTCTCAGATCTCTCTTTCTCTCTCTTTTTCTTTTCTCCTTTTCTCCGAGCCCGCCTTTCCCTGTTGCTTGACTGCAGCCGTCTAAAGAAATTTCCCACACTAGGAAACCCCGAGGCGACCAATAGATATAATAGGAAGAGTACTGGGCCTTGACTTTACCCGCTGGACCTTGGCTTTATCCGTTCACTGGCTTATTCCCGCTGGTTGATTTTCCTCTTACCGCTTTCGTGCCTGCAATTTCCAGGCTGTCTCGCACGCGTTCACCAGTCTCAGCACCTGTACATCATCTTGATAAACCTCAATTAATGGAGAATACCAGCAGAACAGCCGACAAAATCACCAAGATCTCGAAACCAAACCAGGCCAAACCAGCTGCCACATATACCGCTGTTGCCTACGTACCCACCGGACAATCACGTAGTTTCAGATATTGTTCTTCCATCATAGGTCTCCAGCCGTCACACCCATCACCGCCCCGGAAGGGCCCATGCCTCTTGGCAGTTCAACAGGGTTGATATGAAGCAAGTCAAGCATGCTTAACACGATTGCTACACTGTGACACTTTGGTAACATGTGCTAGCAGGATTCTCATATCGTGTACCTTCATGGAGAAATATCACCTTCCTCTATGACATCCCGACTAAAATGATACCGTGAACGATACGTAGCTTGTATACGCAGCATGATGAACTGATTCTTGCCAAATGAATCGCACTTTGACTATAACGACCTCAAGATTCACGTTCTCGGCCTGCTCAATCCCCAAATCGTCTAGTAAGACCCCACAACCAAAAAGACAATGCTTCCTTCACTCCCTTGCGCATGGCCATGTACTCGCTCTGTAGTAGAAAGTGCACTGTTGTCTGCAACTCGATCGCCCAACTAACGTGGAGCTCCGATGTACTCCTGAATACATAACCAGGAGTAGATGTCGTCTATCTAGATCACCCGCATAATCAGAGTCAGACAACATCATCTGACATGTATCTCCACCAAAACACAGCCTATCTGCGGACTTTCAAGCTCCTCAGGGACCGCATTTCACGAGCTTGCCAGTTGGCCTTTCCCGGGATTCGCTATATGAACCTGCTGCCACACTAACTGCCATGTGAAATATCTGGGCGTGTACACACCATGGCGACATCAAACTGCCTAACTGCAATAGCATAAGGAACACGACTCCAGTTGTGCCTTACTTCCCGCTGTAGTGGGAGATTGTTTTACACACTGAAGCCTGAAGTGTGGAGCATGGAGTCGCCATCCGACTCTAGCATGCATCCCGAACCTCTGCGATCACCGCTCTATAATTAGCCTTCTGAATCGAGAACAATCGCCGATTCGACCGCTCTCTTTAATCTCCATCCCAGTATTTTCTGGAGAACCGCCATGGTCCTTATATCTCGACTCTTTACTAAGTTGAGATGTTCAGCTATCTATCTCACCCGTCTCTGTAGAAGCAATAAGCGATGTCATGCCACATACAGAGAGAGAAGATATAATTCACCTCCAGGTAAGCTTCGAATGTAAAACAGCAATCGTAATCACTCTCGGGAAAATCCATGCTTCAGCATGAAGGAGTCAAATTCGCATTGTACCACTGCGAGGGATGCTTTACGTCGATAGAGGAACTTCCTCAAGGCGACATACATCGATTGCCTCACTTAATCCTCAACCTGTAGCCCTCAGGTTTAGCATGTATGATCTCTCACTCCAAGTCTCCGGCGCAAGTAACGGCGTTTTAACGCGAGTTGTTCTCGAGCTCAAAGATTACCTGAGCACAATACTCAATAGCACCGAATAGAGTGTGTTTCACACCGGAGAAAATATCTCCCTTTATTGTAATCCACACGCCTCTCTTTGTGCAAGACCCTTTTAGCCACTACCTCGCCTTATACCTTGTGGCCACGAGCCTCTGAAGGATCTCCTTTCTCTTATACACCACTTACAACAATAGCTTTCTTCTACGGGCATGGGCACCTCCATGTTTGGTTCTTCCGAAGAGATTCCATCTCCTGCCTCGCATCGCAGCCAACTAACTCTCACTATCTTTACCCGAATAGCTTCCTTGAAGGAGACGGCTCCTCTTCCTCACCGGAGAGTGCGTTTCAACCAAATTAACATGCATCAGGCTCTCCGGGTTTGATCACCCCCAGCTCTGTACCTGCTTGATTATCTCGCTTTGCCTAGTGGAAGCCAAGTATCCCTCGAGCTGCTGCTGTTGTAGTGCCTGTAATATCTCCTGTGACTCCTCGCTGCTAAGTCATCATCTACCTGATTTCCCGACTTGAACTGAACTAGAACCTGGTGGTCCATTAGGTTCTACTCAATACCTGGCGACTGTGAAGTCCGAACAGCTCAACACCATCATTCTCTAGGCCGCCCTAGTCAATCAGTGGATTTTTTCATCAAGAAGGTAAATCCCTGCTGATTCAGAACTTTGAATCTTCTGTAACCAATGGCGGGTACCTTTTAGCCCTTATGCATAACCCAAGAATATCGCTCTTCTTTTGACCCTGCGTCAACTGTTCCCTCGTTGACGTATAATAAGGCGGTCTCGAAAATTCATGAGCCCTCTTCATATCGCATGTTCCCCCTGACCCACACCTCTATAGGGCTGTATCACAATCCAATGCTCGAATGTGGAGAACGGTTCACAATTGTAACATGCTGTACCACCGCTTCGCCACAATTCGTGAGCCAATCGCATAAGATCGCTACCTATTGCCTTCTCCCGCAATGTTCGTCAATCTCTCGCGACCGGGCGCCGTCTGCCTGTCGGTGTTGACCTGATGTCCAGTGTCGAACAATGCCCTCCTGATCACAGAACTTCTTGAAGCCCATCTGTATAGCCTTCTGTACCTTACAGATTTAGTGTCTTCACTTCTTGCCGTCCTGTTCTAACCATTGCTTTCCACTTACTGAATGTCTTCGAATACCTCATTCTTATGCTTTACAGAGAAATAATCGCAAGCATACCATAGAAAATACGTTCTATGAACGAGACAAAATACGCTGGAAGCCACCCTTGGAGTTGGTCTGAGCCGGACGCCCAAACATCCGTGAGCACATAATTAGTATAGCTCTGCTCTTGTGATGCTTATGTCAAGAATTGGACCTGCTGGTGCCTTGTCCGTACACAGCAATCCTCAAAAATCTGCCAAGTTTCTTCGATTCTTCAGCATAACTGCCTTACAAGCAGAACCAGACCGCTTCTGCTGACATGTGCCCAAGCCGCCTTATGCCATAACCGCTGCGTGTTGCTCACATGGTCTCCACATCACTTCCATCAGTTCAACCGCTGCATCTCCTTCAACCGCGGCTCGTACCGAGAGAGTATATGAATACCGTGAACGGAACCCCACCCCTCATCACTGTTAGGTGAACCATCGAACAACCTTCTTTACTCCGTTTCTGTAACAATCTTGCAGCCCCCGTGATCTAGATCCCCATGAAGATAATTCTTCGCAAGTCGCGAACGTGCGCACGTCCGTTACGGTTCTGGACCACTCCATCATGCATTCCTTGATTTTTAGATCACCGAGCCCACCGTTTACAAGCATGGTTATTCCCGCACAGTACGTCACCATCAATGCCACTAAGTAGTGAAACACTCCTCCTATTTGGGCGCACATGTGGTAAGACAACTGAATCAGTATCCACTTACGGAGGTATCTTCGCCACACCGTAACAACATAGCATTCTTTATCGCTCCCCCTTCCTCACGATGCGTAACTCGCTCTTTCCTGCCTTCTCTTCTTCGGTCTTGTGTTGTTCTTTTTCCCACCTTACTCCTTGTTACGGCAGTCAACCTTGAAATGCCCAATTTCACCGCTTTGAAGCACGGCTCTTGCCGCAAGAGGTCTCCGAATTTAGATCATGACCTTCCTCCCTTAGCGTTTTCCTCGCTGCATTGCTCCTTCCTCTACAAACAATGCCTGCGTTAGCTTTTTTTACACCAGTAGTCATGTCACCAGGTTGGCAATCATTTCGCAGAGGTCATCCCTAGAGCGCCGGTCTATCTCATACCATCTGTCAAATTGTCTCCCAGAGCTGCAAATGTTTGCATGCCAGTCTTCTCATAAACTTCGGCAGATGATTAGAAGTAAATAGAGAGCCTCTGATCTCTCTACACAGCTCATCATCGGATGTCTTCAATGCGATATAATCCTATCCGAACTTGATTGAATTCCCGGTTGATGAGCCCTCCTCCATCTTGCAAGTATACAATTTGGATTTCAAATAGATCCGGTGTAGACCTTCGTCATAAAGGTGCCTTTCTAAATTCAACACATGGGCGGCGGCGCCGCGCGCGAGACCGTGCCATCTCCACTACCAAGAAGCTACATCCCTTCAACGGCGAAAGGATGAATCGAGCCCCGTGCCCCCGTTCAGATCCAGCTCCTCCAAAAATCCTCGATACAGACATATCCTTGGGCTTCTTCTCTTTCCGCGCCAAAGCTTTGTGCAATTTCTGCGAAATCAACGTGTTCTCATGCGCATCCCCATAGGAAAAATCATTCTTCGCCATTGAATTTCTATCTCGTATTTTCCGAACTTTTACTGTTTTCTTGGTGACACCTATGCCCCGCTTGTTAGGTCAAACCGCATTCCTCAGCAAAAAATACCAGAGCACCGACCTCAAATCAAAGCTACTACCACTCGCCAATCTGAATAACAGCTGCTGATACAATTGTGGGCGCAGAGTTGCACGGCCGCAACCTGCCAGCGGAAGCGATAGTACCATGAGAGAAGAACAGCCCTGGCTTTTTTGTCGGCCAAAAGCACAAGTCAACCTCTGTATCTGTTTCTCAAAGAAACGCAATAATACATGAAATTTCTTCATTCTCAAAGAAACAAGGAATTGATAAGTATATATTTATCAAAGTGAAAATATACACTCTTCTCTCATCACTAAAGACCGGAAATTTGAGGATCCTACAAGCAAATGCCAACAACCTCCAAAAAACAGGTAAATACACAGGATTTACGTGGTTCGGCGGCAAACTTGCCTACTCACAGGGAGGGGTGAAGGGGAGATTCCACTTATAGGAGAACAGCCGACGACTTTAAATCCACAAGCTCCGTCTCAAGATCTGATTGTTTTTTTAACCCAAGAAGAAATAAACCTCTCTTTTGCTCGAATCTCTCTTTTCTCTACCTCTCAAATCTCCTTCTCTCTCTTTTTCTTTTCTCCTTTTCTCCGGAGCCGCTTTTCCCTGTGATTGGACTGAGCGTCTAAAGGAAAATTTCCCACCAAAAACGCCTAGGGAACCAATAGAGTAAATCAGACAAGCAGACTTGGGCCTTGACTTACGCCCGCTGACCTGGCTTGTATTCCGTTCACATTGCTTTTACCCGCTGGCGGATTTCCTTTACCCATTCGCTGCAAATTTGCCAGGCGCCGCGTCACACAAAGGTATTTTCTCACAGATTTTTTTTTTAAATTTTACAAGAAGATTATCTTCCATAGAATGATTGTGGGTGGAATTTTCCATAGAGCAGCTTTTTTGGCTTCCATAGTTTTCCATCCGTTGGTATACTCAGAAACGTCCATGTGTACATAAAAAGGGCCCTCTATGAATAACGATATAGGGAGAAAGGGGAACACGACAGGCAACCCACTGCCAGTTTTAAATCAAGGGGATCGATATACAATTTTGGTGCAATCAGTAGAATCAGCGTAAACAAATAAAATATCATTGCAATTAGAACATTGTTTCAGTGCAATCAAATACGTAAAAATCTATGGTTTTCCTCGGTGTCTTACATATGTTTACAACGTCATATTCTAGTCGTTTATGTGAAGATTAACTTGTCATGAAGTATGTTCGATTACTCAGCTCATTTCATGAGCACTGAGCTTGTATTTATCTTCTCTCTTCAGCAATCCACCAGTATACCCTTTGGTTATTGCTACACACCCACAGGAGCCGAATCAATTAGCAGTTGGGCTAACTGACGGAGCAGTTAAGGTGATCGAGCCATTGGAGTCTGAGGGAAAATGGGGATCTTCAGCGCCCGTTGAGAACGGAGCAGCTAACGGCAGGACTCCTGCATCGTCAGCTACGAGCAATCCAGCTGCTGAGCAGGCTCAAAGGTTATGATGCCTTCTCATATTGTAAATTTTCTAATCTTTTCTGACATGATTCTAGTTGTATTTTTTTTTAAAGTTTATATATCTTTGTTCATGTATAACTTTTACATGTGCCTTGTGAAAGGTTAGCGCAACATAGGACAATAAGAGGGATTAGTGGTGCGTGTTGTAAGTAGTGTATTATATCTGATGTCATATTTAAATCCTTGTCGGATAGTATTATTTAAAGATCAATGTTGTTGGCATTCTTGTTTGGTAGTATTTATGGATATTGCTCTCTGATTTAATGATTAATGCGTGATTTGGTGTATGTATTGTGTCGACTGGCTGACTCGAAAGAGCACGTGTGTATTTCTTACCTTTGGTTAGGAGCCTGGTGGGCGTCAATATTGACATCATCATGTGTATTCTGATGGTTGTATACCCCTACTGGAGCCAGCCTCATCATGGATTAATTGCATATAACCCCTTGTAATATGAGGGTATAACCAATTATACCCCCTCTGAATTATTTTGTTGTCACTTTGCACTTTCTCAACTGACATTATTTCCCTCATTAGGTTGAGATGTTACATGAAAACAGTTTGGTGGCTTAGTTACTTTTTTTGCCTTCTGCTTGCTTCCGCCAGCTGCTAAGGCTTTTGATAGCTCGGACCCGAAGAGAAAATACGCTAATGGGAGGCAATTCATCTCGATTAGAACAATAATAAGGTGATCTGATGGATTAAATCGTCGGAGCGAGAAGGTAATCGGCCTCTAAAATGCTAGTATTCACCTTGCGCAAACTACTACTCCTGCTGCTGTAAAATAAAACTTAGATGGAAAAGCTACCAAAGCCACTCAGGGACAAGTCCAATAGCTTTAAACCCCTCCTACACAAAAACGGTCACTGTTGCCGGATTAATTGGAAACCGGCAAATAAAGCAATAAAGCGAGAGAAAAGCAAACTGCGTTAGAATAAAAACCCATCAAACTATCCATGAATTCGCGAGTACAAACTTAGAGAATCCATTAGGGAAACAAGACAACAGCAGAAAGCAAAGCAACGGGACGCACTAAAGCAAGGTAGATTTTCGGTCGATTGTGTGCGAGCCTGTTCTTCTTCTTCATTGTGTTTTTTTTAGAACAGTCAGGTTGTCCGTGTTCAGTTGCAAGCGGGGTGCTATCTGTTTGCTTCGAATACCCGCGGTCTTTAATTCGAGCTGATCGAGAGATGTTCGCGAACTAGCTAGTCGATCTGGCTTTACACACAACAAAGAGAAATACATAAAAGGAAGAAAAAGTGGATAATAAGTTACGATGCACAATTAGGGGTAGTCCACGATTAGCAGGCCGGTCTCCGGAATTTCCCTTTCGAAATATAGCGGTCCGTTCTAGTTTATAGAGGGAGGCCTCATTGTTGGTAGGGGGGTTGAAGAAGCCCCTGAAGGTTAGTCCCACATCGGCCAAAACAAAGAGCAGAGGAGGAGGCGGGTCCTATAAAAGGAGCGAGGTGGCCAACGGTTTGAGGCATACCTTTCTCGGCCTTTTGGCTAAGATCAAGTGTAGTATCTGTTCTTATCAGTTTAATATCTGATACGTGGGCCATCGGCCCACTACGGTATTAAATTAATTTTTGTTGGGGGAGGGTCCGTCCACAGCAGCTTGCTGCTGGGGCCCTCGGGCGTCGCCCGTGCGTTGCACTATTGCACGGGCCTGGCGCACCCCTACCAAACCTCTGTCATAAATATTGTAATTCTAAAATCATAGTTGGATTAAATTGTTGCTGATGGAAGCAATGTCAGGGAAAGGCCGTTGTTCTATTATTACTACTTTAGTAAACAAGTTTACCTGATGTTATCATTAAATTAGCTCTCAACAATCTTTGTTGTGTCTAAATGGAATTCTATATGAGCCTAAAATAGGAACCCTGCATGGACAGGTGAGGTGTTTTTAAATGAGTGTTGCTACAGGTGAGGTGTTTTTAAATGAGTGTTGCTACAGAGACTCCAAAATAAGGACCCTGCATAGGACAAGTGAGGTGTCGTCTCCTTATCCCGTGATGCACACCTTACATATCCCACTGCATAGGACAAGTGAGGTGTCATCTCCCTGTCCCGTGATGTACACCTTACATATCCCACTCAGAATCCCTTATTTTGGGTTCCTAAGACATTTTTTCTTTTTAAATAGAGTTTAGGTTGAAGATTTAAATGATTATAACCTGGATCAACTTTGTGGATCGCTCAAATTTAGGGAAATTTTACATTCAGATATTCAAAAGTAAATGTAAATTAATGCGCTTCATTGAAACTTTTGCCTCCGCTTTATTGAAAACTAGAAAGAACGTTAAAACCATAAATTCTTTCATATTAACCATTTTGCACAATCAGAGACTCTCTGATCTCGAGTCCTCGACGACTCCACTGTACCTGCAGCTGCAACTGCATTCGTCTCCTCATCGCAACCGTCGTAAGGAAACTCGTCAGCCAGCTTGCTGCATCTTTTGCCCATCATGATAGGCTTCTTCCATATCCTGCTCTTGGAATCCTTCCTCATTACTTTCATCACTCTCTCTACGAAGGAAGCCACCCTTTGAGCATTGCTTTCGTTACTTTTGATCTCGCTCCTGTCTTCTTTGCTTGATCGCGTACCCGAGCTCCCCCCGACGGAATCAGAAGGACGGTCCCACGCGGTGCTATCGCGTGCGCCCGATTCAACCTCAGGACGTTGGTTTCCATTGGAAAAGCAAGCGATGAGCTCGAACCTCCCGGAGGAGGGAGGACCCGACGCCTGTTTTCGCTTTGGGGATCTGAAAAGGCTCAGAACGGAGCGAAAGCTAGGATCTTCCGAGAGGCTGGAGGGCTTGCAGCGATCGGAAGCACCTGAAGTGCTGTAGAAATTTGGAGGGAGCTTGAGAGGGAGCTGAGCCATCTCTCTCTTCTCCTCTGAGTCCTCTCCTCTCTCTCTAGCGAAGAAAGATGGTGTCAAGGGGTTGTTTCAAGAGCAGCTTCGAGTTTGGAGGGAAATTTATGGATTTTGAAAGTATGGGAGTGCGATCAGTTATGAAGGGATCGTTCGGTTATTAAGGATTACGAATTTGTTAGTATATTTTTTTATTTGTTATTTTTAAATTTTGTTAATCATGGGCTTGACCTATGTTTCGTTTTGAAGTCAGCTCGGCTGCAGTTTGTTTCCAGGCTACCGTTCCAAGTTATTTTAACAAAACTTTTATAAATATTGAAGCTCGAACGGTTACATGATTTGTAGTTTTAATACAAAATGCAATAGGAAAAATAAAAATACCAAAACGCCAAGAAGAACACAAGCTCGTGACACGGTGACATCGCAAGGCTTCAAGTTAACCAATTTTAGAACTATTTATAAGGCGGTTCTCCCTCGGTACTCTTCTTTTTTTAAAGATTCTGTCCTTTAATACTCTTTTTTATCTGCTATCCTAAAAAAAAAAGTACTACTTGTATCGAGCCGAGCCAGTGATAACGCTCTTTGTAGCTTAAACTTGTTTTCGTCGAGGAAATTGTTGAGCAAGAGTGACCTATTCTTCGGAGGATAACCTGCAGAGGGAAAGGTAAGGATCAAGAAATGAGTTTAAAAGCATAAGAAATTTTAAAATGAAGAGCTTTTACAATCTATTAGACTATCAGTCGCTTCCATACAAATATCAATTAGATACCGACACTTTTTACTCATAATAGCCAAGATAATAGTCCCAAGTTAATCTAAGCTCCCTGAAAGAAGGAATTCGTTATATATAAATAAACCTGCTCAAATATATTGGAGAACTTTTACGGCATTGCACACGTAGGATACAGCTGAACCCATGCAAACTCTTCCTTGTAGCTCACACTTGAATCGCAGGATCCCGAACATGTGTACACAACAATAGTCCCCCAGTCAAGTGAATCAGGGTCGTTTCTCACACCAAAGTAATAAAGCAGCTGAGGCATGATCTGCAAAACAATATATTACTGTTAATGCACGACACCATTAAACAAAAAAAAAAAAAAAAATTAATAAAAACAATAATGAAGGAGACAACTTGATAACACAGATGCGTCTTAACAAAGAGAAGATTGAAGTGGAGGAGGTCATGGTGGTTATGGTAGTGATGATTGCTGCAACGGCGCAGATGATAGAGAAGGTGAAGTTATATAGTTAAGGCTAGGACTTCTATTTAAGACTGTTGAGTAGTTAGATTAGGAAAGGTAACCGGTTGATTAGGATAGAGAAGCATAAGAGGGATTCATTGGGCAAAGAAAAAGACAGGCACAAAACGGGTCATATGATATTCATGTGTCCCTTTGGCCTGAAAGTATAACCCAGCGACACCCTAGGGGTTCAATAATGAAAACTTTTGTATAGAGAGCTTATCTTCCATTTAATTTAATTTCAGGGTTATCTCAATTTATCCAGAAGATGCGAGCATGCAATACAGTGATACTCTCTTTGACCAATTAAAAGAAGCAACAAGTCAAAAAATTAAAATGATAGTAGAAACTAAAACTAGTAGTTTCCCATGGCTTTCTCACAGAAAAGAGAAAAAAGAAAAAAGAAGAAGATGGAAGCCTGATAACAAGCATGTTCTACTGCAATGTCAAACAGAAGCCTAGAGAAGAAAAAGTTTCCTCGGATAAAACTGAAAGTTCTAAAGCTTCCACTGATGATGGATATAGCTCAGAGACAAACTTTTGTTCTGATAAAACTGAGTTCTAAAGCTTCCACTGATGATGGATGGATATAGCTCAGAGAGACAAACTTTTATTCAAATTGACATAATTAACCGTAACGGAATTGGTACGGAACTAATAATCCAACAAGAGATTGGAAATACACAAACCTGGAATTCATAAGAACGGGGACCCTTGCAGTAGTTGCATCTGGGAATGTCTGCTTTAGTTGGACGACCAATTGATAATGGCCACAACGGTTTTGCAGCCAGATCTCGACAATATCTGTTAATGTGATGGATGGAAACTTGAAATTAAGGCAACACTTGCAAGTTTCAAGCAAGAATTTGCAACAAGAAAATGTAACACATTTTAAGTTATCTTTTTCATAGGACGAAGAAAGCATTAAACTAAGTTAATCGATAGAATCGACAGAAGTCTATCGTGCTTTATCTTCCATGAATAATGAAAGTGAGGATATGCAACAAATGCAGGAAAGATAATATTCGAGTCGATCTACTATGCTAAAAGAGGATATGGTGATTTATAAAGGGCATGAATATATGCCTACCTCAACACTTGCTCAGGGGCTTTAGCAATACGTTGTTGGAACGATGCAAAATTCTCCTTATCATTGTCAGCCTGCAACCAAGTAACTTTGTTTAACACAAAATACAGTGACTTAGATATAAAGGCACAGACTGACCATCAAACTAAAATGACTATATTTACCGCAAACTTGTCTGACAATGATTGAAATGCCTCATCTGTTTTGTTCTGTACGGGCACCAAAGAAGTTGCACTACTAGTATCTTCAGAATGTTCATAGTCGGACAAACATTCATCCTCGTTTTCGATTTCATATTCAGGCCACAAAGTTCTGCAGGCAGCTGAAATAATAAAGATTTGCAGTTAAAATGTGACATTCATAGGATTTCATGTCAAAAAATTGTTCAGCCCTTTATTTCTGCATACCATTGCCCAGAATAGGCACAGAAGCTTCTGAAGGATTCGCTAGCCTGCGGCAATCATTTTTATGGCCGGAGCGCCAATGCATAGACTGAAAAACGATAGACATTGCTATGTTTTGCTTCAGTAAAGAATTAAGAAGATAGTGAAATATCCGTTGACTTATACCTGGTGTTTCTCAGAGCAGTAGCGTGCTCTCCTGCAATTACTACAGATTTTGTCCCCTACCCAAGTGCCACACCAACAACAGAGTTCAGCTGAACAAAAAAGCCTGAAAACAGTAAGTTAGTGGGAAAAAAACATTAAATGTTTTTTATTAAAAAAACAATGGGCTTGCTCATAAAAATCTATCAACATTTTAGTCGAATGGTAATATCATTCTATTCAAATGCAAATGAACTCTTGAGAAAATAGTCTAAAGTTGTGTCTGGCAAAACATGGAATGTGGGACGCCTAGCCTTATAACTACACCTATTTACGATATGCACGGCCAAAGGAAAACTTCTAGAGCCTATCCTGACATTCATCCACAACAACTGAGCCTATGATAAAACAAAAATTGAAGAAACAAAGACCCTGCAAAGGCATGCACAAGTAAAGAAAAGGATTTAAGCAGGATTGCTAAGCATAGGCTATTCCATTATGTAACTTATCCATATCAAATGTAATAGACACATACTTCGCACGGAGACGGCCATTCTTGGGCATGTTTGACACTTCATTCACGCACCCTCAGTTGAAAAGCAGCTTACATATGTACTATACGAGTGGGTTAGCTTACCTTGTTAGTTGTTCTTCTATTATCTATGCTTCAATAAGTTGATTCATTTTGACATTCATTTTCATATTTAAATGAGAAAATAAATATATTATAGGGTAATCACAGACATACCTACTCATACAAATGGACAATCTTAGGTCCCTAACAAATTTATTTATTGCCTGAAATAATAGCCCGATGTTGTCTACACTTGTAGCATTGAGCATTGTTAACTATACCATGTATTTCAAAGTATATACACATTTCTCCATAAACAAATATCTGCTGGGACCTTCAACGGATTTAAGTGCGATCTAGTAACTCTAAACCAAAAGTATGAACCAGTAAAATGAACAGAAAGATCTAGCAAATGAAAGTTTAACTACTTACCTCCAGCAGTTAAAGGTTCATTTCTGCCATTGTGCTTAGGGGGGTCGAACGAGTAGAAAGGATTAGAACGAGGTAGTTGGCACCGGAAAACCTTCACACTTCAAAAAACACCCAAAAGGCACAGATTCAATTGACGGAATGGAATAACATATAGAAAACATAGCTATCAATTTATCAGCAAGTATCTTCTACACATCACCTTTTGCATAGTTTATGTTTATGTTGTACTTATACCCATTGGGAATGAATTGCTACTTCCTTTAGTTAAACAATTTTATGTCGGATGCAAAAAAATTCCATGTTAGATGGCAGATGTCGGGAATACCAGAGATATTTAGTAAATATTGGGTTGTTAAAGTGGGATAATATATATAAATCTCATAGATGTCCAGAATTGATGCATAGAGAATGGAGCTATGAAGAAAAGATGCTATATTCTTTTCATGTTTAAACATGTTATTAAAGTTACCAAAAATTTCAAATGTATAATGCTAGGAATAAAGCTATTCTGTAAATAACTCCAAGTTAGGTTGGACTCAATTGAGTCCAAATTCTTCTTTCAGGTATTTATATAAGAGGGTATTGGTCTGGGTTAAGACCTCAATTGAATAAAAAATCCAAACCCAATCACTATAACGTATAGAAGTCCAAACTGTTGTTGCAACGCTTCATTAGGTATATCATGAAAATCCTGATATATAGAAAAAAATTGCCAAAAACATTAATCAACATAGAAATCATATAGTTTTGCGACAAGCCTTACAAACATATTGAATGATATGTCAGTGGTGTCATTCAATATTTAAAGCAAGGCCCACCATTGTAAGAAAAACTGCTACCTTCTACAAGAATTCTCTCCATCACGCTTCCACTGCTCATGTTGGTCCTTAAGAAGGCAGGACATAGATGGGCACATGAACACATACAGTATCCGATGGAATGTAGATTCCTTCTCAGGCAACGATGCATAAATCTATAAAATTTCAAACATCCCCCTACTTTCTTAGAAACAAACCTCCCAACAAAAACCAAATCAAAAAATAACTTAACAAAATACCACTTGCCTGAAGAAGGAACAGTAGTGGCTCTCCACAGAATCCGCACGTGCGAAATTTCCCCCAAGGCAAGTTCAACGGATCCAACCACGCCTAAATCCAACCAAATCAGACAAAAATAATTGTTAACTGCACTTTAATACCCTAGAGCTTCATCAATTTTTCACTTCGATTCCCAAATAATACACCATAGTTCCACAGATTTTCACTTCAATACTTTCTGTTACATCAAGGTTCAAAATTTTGTCTAAAAGACATGAAATGATTATCAAATGATAACATTCGGACTTTTGTACCCCCAAACTGATAATGAATCCCACTTAATCCCTCTCCTCCTTCCAAATTTTAAGTAAAAACACAGAAATTTGTAACTGAAAAATAGCACGCCAACTCCTTTTTAACAATACTCACAACAGAAATCGAAAGAAAGCCCTAAATTGAAACAAATGACTAACAAGAAAGGTCTTTAAGGTACAATTTGGACAAACTTAAACTTCACGGAACAGGAGTTAAAAATTAATGAACTTTTCAGGGCATGAAAGTGCAATTGATTAATAAAAAAGGCATAACATGCGGGAGTTTTAGGGTTTAAGCAAGTACGGGGACGCCTCCGGCTTTGCTAGGGAAGAACTGACGAAGAAGCGAGTGAGGATTCTTCGGCTTCTCGACGAACCCCAGGGTAACTCCTCCCCCTGCGACTTCGTCTTCTGCCTCGTCGTCGCCGTCGTCGTCGTCGTCGTCCATTTCGATGGCATCTTCATCCCCTTCATCGTCGTCGAGGGAGGTGATGCGGAGGGAATCCAGATTGTTAAGATCCGAATCCATTTCAATGAGATGGTGGGGGGAGAGGCGCAGCAGAGAAAACCCTAGATTTTATTGGAGGGAAAAGAATAATAATGTTTTTCGCCAACAAACCCCCAAATCAACTACACTTGTAGATTTACCCTTTACATAAAAATAATTGCTAATTTATCCATAAATCTTTAAAATTGCTTTTATTTTTCCATCTCCCGATCTTAACATTTTTATTCACAAACATAGACGATAAAAGTATCAGAAATACTTTCTCCCATAACAAAAAGAAGAGAACTTCCACTAAGGAGGGCGATACGTCTCCTCCAACCTAACTCCAATATGACCTCGTTTCTGTCTCCAATTTAAATTGTTATTATATTTTTTATGAGCAAAAGTATAAACTGAATTATGATCCATGTATTTACGGTCTTTCTCATATATTAGATCATAATTTTAATCTTATTTTATATCTGAAGTTTAAATGTTTATATTTATATTTATAATCTATACGTCTAAATTCACGTAGATGTTTTAAATAAAATTCATATGTTCGCCATTTATCTTAACAAATCCATCAAATTGTTAAAACAACGCCCTTATTTCTGACAAATATATAGATTTGAGGGTTTAATCTACAAAAGTGAACATTTAGGGCTGTGATATAAACAAAGATAGAAGTCAGGGACTAATGTGGGAAAAACCCTTATAAACATTAATTTGGCGAGCTCGGGTTTTAGGGTTTAAGAGGGTGACAAAAGAGAGAGCGGCAAAGGGAAGAAAAGTCGCCATTTCCCCCCGAAAAATCAATTTTCTTCCTCATTAATTTGATTTGTTTTTTTTTTGGAGGAGTCGTGGGAGGATGAGCTCCCCCAGTATCAAAGATATGGCAGAATCAAGGTAATCCTCGATTTTTTTTCAGATAATTGATGAGAATTAGATGAATTTACGGTAGCAAATTGAAAGTTGAAATTTTGATTAATATGACTCCGAGAAATACGCATTCACAGTTAGTCCTCTTTTCTTGAGATTATTTATGAGGAATTAGTCGGTATTTTATGTATATAAGTAGGGAATTTATTGTGTATGCAGATTTGGGATACCCTCAAGGGTCACTTGCAGACTGAATTCTCCGATATCCTTTCGACTGAGGCCGTGGGGAACCGGTCCAAGTCGGAAAGGGGGCACCTTTCATTAGATTACAAGTGCATGAAGTGGATCGAATTGGAAAGCAAGGTTCCTTCATCGAAAACTTTATCCTTTTTTTGGGTCTATCTATATTATTTTTAGTATATATATTTTAGTGGTACTTTTCTTTTTCAGAAGAAGAAGAAGAAACCTGGGAACTCGTTGCTGGTGTTGGGCACAGGGGGCGGCGATGTTTTGGCTGTCGATGTTTCGTTGGGTCAGTTGAAGTGGAAAGTCAGTGATTGTCATCCTGGGTTAGTTTTTCTAATCCATAATTTTCACTGACTGTAGTTCCTAGTTTTAATGAGAATTAGATGAATTTGGTAGCAAACTGAAACTATGATTAATATGAAACCAACAATATTTGCAGGGTTACCTTGTTTGCGGGTTTAAATCTCTTGGAGTCTTGTTAGCTTATATGAACATTGTAGTTGAAGCTCTTGTGTATATCTATTCACACTACCTGTAGCTTTAGCAATTTCAAGGCCTTAAGAAGAAGAAGTTTGCAAAATCAAAACGTACTCAGGATTCCTTCTTAAATTATAGAAGTCAAGTGTGAATAACTTCTTAGAACTCTCTAGAGGATTCTGATTTATCTTTCTTGATTATCCTAATATCTTCCAATGAATTATTAACCTCTGCTTCATTCCTTGTACTGTTCTTTGAAATCACTTTTAAAACTTTTTGATTATACTTCCACTCCTAGTTTCTTTTTCTTTTTCTTTTTCTTTTTCATTTACTAGAAGTTACATCATTGCCCTAACTTGAGATTCATTGCCTTCCTACAATTTTTGCCTCTTTGGCTAAGAATGTAATTAGTAGAAGGCTACCCTCCAGAGCATGCTTGAACCGGTTAAGGTGACTCATTTGCTATGGTGGTTATTGTTTAGTCTATTATCTATCTTTCATATATTTATACATAAAACATTATCCATAGGTGCATGTACATATATGCATGCATGTGTGTATATGCATACATCTCCATATGTTTATACTGAAATACACATTTATATGCATACATGCATGTGTGTGCCTGCACTTGGCTGTTGTACTATGTCCAAAAACCATTTTGTATACTATATCAATAACTATAGAGAATAATGTTAAGATTATTTCTAGACAATATAGGCATTCTTGTACATTCAAGTTTTAGAGAAATGTTCATTATCTTAAGAGTTCTAATGTAAGCACTGCTTGCCCTCATGTTTATACCAGCGGTGAACCTTATGTTCCTGGATATTGTCTTGTTTAATCAGAACTATCAATAGGAATTTCTCATTGAATTGCTTTTAGGAACTCATGACAAGGAGTTGTATAGAGATTAGTTGTATTCTTGTGTTGTTTCTTGTTATAACTTCTTTTGATAGAAGTTCTGTAACCAGAGACTATTTTAATGGTTGTACTTATATGGAAAACTTCATTCTGCATTTTTTTCTATCTGGCCCCACTAGTTACAAATTGTTTACTCTGTTGACAGGGGAGTAACTGCTGTTTCTTATTCTGGACACAATTTATCCATATACACAGCTGGCGTGGATGGTATGATTTGCCAGATTGATTTCTCAGCCGGGAGGGTACTTAGAAAATTCAAAGCATCTACAACAGCTGTATCTGCTTTATCTATTTCAGCAGGTACTACCTCCTAGCATGGGTTCTAAATATCCAAAATAAGCATTGATTGCTGTCGTAAGTGGTGTTAATTTTTTCTGGAACAATGTTTATCCTATAGCCATGTTTTGTTTTATACTTATTCAACTAAACATGTCACAGAGCACGATTCTTCTTTAAACCATGATGTTTTATGGTTTGCAATTTACATTTAATGTAAAGTGTGGTTGACCAATTGTAACTATCTTATCATAAAAATGCAGTGAGATTTTAATGAGCCTTTTTGTGCATATTAATTCTTTGACTTTCATGAAAGAGTTTGATACTCACATTTCACATTCCATGACAAATGTAGGGATTAGAATGGAACATATTGCTGAATAGCATCCTGCTCATATTTAGTTGTCAAGCATTATGTAGTTTTGAGAACATTGCTACAAATTACATACCTTTTGTGTTAAAAGGGCTTGGCATGAGCAGTTCCTCAACATTGAGAAAGCTCTTCAAAGAATTGGTGCTGTTTTTATCTAATAACAATCTGGTATTAGCTCTTCATTAATTGGTGCTTAATCCTATGCAGAGTCAACTGTGACCTATCTGTTTTAGCATACTGTTGTAGACATCCAATCAAAGAGCAGTTCTGCAGATTTTAGACAAAGTTGTAGATGAAGAGATAGGGTGAATTTTTTTTGGGGGAATGTTTTTCAACTTTTATTTATAGCATAAACAACAAGCCACACTAACTATTTTCCTAAGTTGCTATTTGATAGATATGTAATAATGTATATATTGCTCAAAAGAACGCTTTCAACATGATAAGTGTTCATTTTATCAATGTATTTTTAGGCTGCATAAAGGGAGAATATAATACATTTGGCAGAAAGGGTACAGAACACCAAAAAACATTAATGAACCACAAAAACTAGAAAATTCCACCCTGAAATATTACAGGTTTAGTTTATTGGTAATTGAACTTGAACCTCAGTAGTATTCTGGATCTAAAGTGTTTAATGTTCAGTGGTGAATATAAATTCTGTGTGGTGTGTAGTTCTAATTCTTAAGAACTTTATTATAAAAGGTGTTGCTTACTTGTATTGAACTTTGTACAATGCTATTTCTTTCTATCAGATGGAAAGCTACTCGCAACAGCATCTGCTCAATTGAAAATCTTTGATTGCTCAAATAATAAGAAGATGCAAAAATTTTCTGGGCACCCTGTGAGTAAGAACTGGTTCTGTGGCATTTTGTTCTTTCTCTATCTTTTACTTTCTCCTCATTTGATATATCTCTATGATATTGCAGGTGGCTGTACGATGCATGATCTTTAGTGAAGATGGGAGCTATGTCTTATCTTCTGCAGTTGGTGAAAGATTTGTTGCAATCTGGAAAGTAGATGGTGGAAAAAAGAAGTCTGCTAGCTGTGTTCTCTCAATGGAGCATCCTGCTATTGTTCTGGATAGCAGGGGTTCTGATGCTGAAGGCTCCAAAGATTCAGGTTTATATGTTTTGGCCATTTCAGAGGTGGGTCTCTGTTATTTCTGGTATGGGAGTAATATTGAAGCATTGCACGCCAGCAAGCCCACAAAGATCTCACTATCCTTTGACTCCCCCATTTCAAGAAACAGCAAGGGTCTATCAATATTTGCTGCAAAATTCCATCGTATTATCAGCCCTGCATCTCCAAAAATGCTTCTTGCTTATGGCGCCTTGGTAAAGCCGTCATTTGAGAAACTCACATTGGAGTATGGTAAAGATATGAACTTGAATGCATCTCAAGATGGTGTTCTACTGCCAATTGGTCAGTCTAACATCTCAAATAAGAGCTTGGTGAATCAAACCAAAGGTATGTTATGTCACTCAATAAAATATCTACGCTGGTTTTTGCTAATGCATTTGGAATTCACAAAGTTGAGTTCACTCTAGCTGATAATAATGGCAAGATGACTCCAGGAGTACACAAAAAATTCTTACAAATTCGGAATAAATTTGTGTGCTACTGGTCTTCTTGTCTTCTTTCATTTTTCTCTCTGTTCAGCAAAGCTTGGATAAAGTGTTTTTGCTTATTTATGTTGTCTTCATGCTAAATCTACTTTCTATTGTCTACTAGTCACTGCGCTTGACCGAGCAAATGCAGAAGATGCTATTCTTCCTCTTCCAAAGCTCTATGCTCATGAAAAGAAGAGAAAGCATGGTATGCCACCTTTGATTTCGGAGGCCAAGACAGTGACTGAACCAGTTGGCAGCAGCACAGATAAAACTTGGCCTGCACGTGCTGAAGGTAGTTCTAGTTTTCCTCCTTTCTGATGCATTTTAGCAATCTTACATACAAACCCAAATTAAAAATTGCTCCTAAACTTTAAGCTCTTTCAGAACTTCAAATACTGTAACACTGGGTTCAGCTTTTAATTCTCTCTTTATTTGTTGAAAAATAGTTGCAGTTTATACTATAGTCCTGACAAGCATAATACACCATTTTAATGCCAAGTTTCTTAATAAGAAGAATTATTTTATGGATCATTGCTATGTTTTCCCCCTAAATCCTGGCATCTTTGAATTACTTTTTTTTCTCTATGCAGTTGACCTGCAAAAGATGGAAGAATATGGTCTTACATCAATTGAGAA